TGGGCGCCGCTATTCTTGTGAGCCACGCCGGACCAGCCCAGAAAGCCCCACGCGTGCTCAGCGCGTGCGTTTGGTGGAGCCTGACTGATCCACATTATCTGGACTCGTTCCCACCCCTCCCCATTAGGCTTTATCTGTTAACCCGGCGGACGCGTGGGCAGTGCACACTGTCGCCCATGTTCACGAGATGAAAGCTGAGATCAGGCATGGGCTGGAATTCATGCAGCGCTCGGAAACCCACTGGAAGGTGAGCGTCTCCTCGATGGTCGTCTGCCAGGAAAATTCTGTCCATCCCCTCGAGTTAAACCAAATCTTTATGGACAGATAACAGTGTACAGCTTGGTCCTGGGGCCGTTCCCGCTCTGGGAGGTGCTTCCGTCAAGCCGTAGTTTCCTCTGGATGCTGCACACCTCCAACACCTGCCAGCGTTTTGCAGGTGATTCTAGAATTGGTCTTAGCCAGAGGCATTTGATGTAAAAGAAATGGATCAGTTACCAGGGAAGCAGAGCCGGCCACGGGTGAGAACCATGAGGGCCCTGAGCTGCCCTTTTTGCCTCCACGGGCCACCGGGCTCAGCATGGGACCCCAGGAGTGGGTTGAGGGAGCACGCGGTGCAGCCGGGGCCGATGGGGATGATGGCAAAGGGATGTGTCCCCAGGGCCGGCATGTGGAGTCGGCCGCTTGTGGGGCAAGGATGCTGGGACTTCACTGCTCCCGCTCCCGGCACCCCCAGCTGTGGTGGCCTTCTCTCCTCTGTGCGCCTCTTGGCCCCAGGCTTGCCTCTGGCACACAGCCCGGTTACCTGTTCAGCTGTGGTCTGCTGCTCTTCCTTTCTCTGTGCCATGGTGGGTTTCCTAGGACACCACCAGCCGAGACGGCAGATCTCTTCCAGGGCCTGGACTGAGCTGCAGGTGCTCAGTGATTGAGTGAACCGAGGAGAGACCAGGAATCAGGTGGGAGCAGGGGACTGGTGCAGTCACCTGTGTCCCTCAGCAGCTTCTTGGCCTAGGACCCGCCAGTGAGAAATACAGGCAGTCCCCAACTTACGATGGTTCATCCGGAGATGTTTTGACGCATAATACATTACGCAAGTTAGTCAACACTCTGTTATAAAACAGGCTTGGGTTAGATGATTTTGCCCAACCGCAGGCTGACGCAGTGTCCAAGCGTGCCGAAGGTGAGCCCTGCTAAGCTGTGCAGTTCGGCAGGTTAGCTGTATAAAATGCATTTCTACTTATGGTCTTTGCAACCGATGGTGGGTTTACTGGGACGTCACCCCCTCGTCAGTCGAGGAGCGTCTGTAACTTACAAGAAGGCGGACTCCTTTCTGCCTTTTCCAGAAGTGGTGTCAGGTAGAGAGGGCAAACAGGCGTGACATAGCGTTCAGAACTGTAGCCCCATGGGGTTCCCACTCAGGTCTTCCTGAGGGTCCCCCAAGCCCCGGGGATAGGAGAGCCTGAGGGGGCAAGGGAAGGGATCCTGCCTCAGGTGTCCTCAAGCAGATATAGTTCTTGTGGGAGCACAGTGTCCGGGCGCGGAGCAGAGTGTGGCCGCATCCTCCCAGCTGAGGCCGGGGGCTTGTCCAGGTGGAGCTGAGGGTGGCGGGGGAGGCCTGGCCAGGACTTGCCAGCTCATCCCTCCCCCAAGACTTTGATTTTGCTGGGCCTGGGTGTTGGGGGCCTGGCTGTACCCTGGGGCGAGGTCGTGATCCGTCTGAGCCTCAGTTCCCTCATCTCTAGCCGGATGGGGGGTGGCGTCCGGGCAGAGAGGCAGCGTCTGCGGTGGCCTCGTAGGAGGAAGGGCTAGCGCTCGTGGTGGGGCCTGCGGCATATCGGCAGTGACCGTCCGGGTGTCAGCCCTGCTCCCGCTACTCTGTGGGCTTTGCCAGTGCCAGGCCCTGGGCTCACTGCCGCTTTATCGATGCCCTGGGACACCCGGATGCAGTGGGCCGCAGCAACGGGGGGCTGGATTGTTTTCTTCGTTTTCCCCATTGCGCATAGAAGGAGGAGGAGGGTTGAGTTGCCCAGGACCCTCCTCTGTGTGGACCCTGCTTCCCCCGCTTTCTAGCTCTGGGGCTGACAAGCTGCCGCCTCCCCCAGCCTCGTTTCCTCAGGGCATCTGTGCGCGTGCTCGCCGCCCATCCGTGGCGCGGAAACGCCGGGCACGGACGGGCCTCGGAGCGGGTGCCCGGCAGATGCTTCCCTAATCCTGTCGTTCCTCCTCCAGGACTCCGACATGCTTGCATGTCACAACTATTGGCACTGGGCTTTATATCTGATTGAAAAGGTAAGGAGGCGGCTGTCTTATCCTGTGAAGACGTCCAGAGCAAGAAACACTTTTTCTGCCCTCGCTATGCTTCGTAGCCTGTGGAAGAACGTTCTGCGTTTGCACGTTTAAACGGCGTCTCGGTGCGAGGTGGCAGTCGCGCTTTCAAAGAGCGTTTCGGGCTCAAACTCCCGTAGGCATTTTGCACTGTCTGGACTCAGAGGTCTCACAGGTTGTGTGCAGTGTGTGGGGAGGATGTCCACCCAGTGTTTCTGCTGCTGGAGTGAACTGTTAAGCTCCCACCCCGCAGACTGTGCCATGTGCCCTCAGCAGCAGAAGCTGCTTCTGTTCCTTGCTCACGGAAGTGCAGTGCCCGGAGCAGAATGCCACGGCTCCATGCCCGGACCTGCACGGTGGCGCTGCCCAGCCCCTGTGTGCTGGGGGGTGGGGTGGGGGGCGGGGCTTCATCGTGCCCATTTCCAGCTCATTCCTCGGCGTTGCATCTCACTGTCTCCCGACAGTAATGACGGGAACTTCATTTTTCCAGGGCGAATATGAGGCCGCGCTGACCATTTACGATGAGCACGTAAGTCTGCGTTTTCCCTCGGTTCAGTTCATTGCCACGGTTGGACTCTCGGTCCCCAACAGATCTGTGAGCCCATCCGCGTGGTCCCAGCCAGAAGCAACGGCTGGGGCAAGAACGGCTGCGTCAGACCTCACGGGGTGAATTTGTGCCAGAAGTGGCGGTGTAACCCCGCCTGGGGTGAAGACGTTCAGCTGGCCCCATTCATCCCGTGGGCGTTGATGGAACGACAGGTCTAAGTCTGAAATCCCAGACTTTCCTCCAGCCGTTTTCTGGAGACCATTGGTCTTCCCACAGACATTTTTGATTGTGGTCAAATATACAGAACATAAAACCTACCGTTTTAACCATTTTTAGGCGTACGGTTCTGTGGCGTTAAGTCCGCTCGCGCTGCTGTGCATCCTACCCCATCTCAGAACCTTTTCATCTTCCCCAACTAAAACTCTGTGCCCACTGAACACTCACACCCCACGCCCCACCCCAGCCCGTAGATATGCTCTTAAGTGGGGGGGAAGCTCCTGGGGACCCCAGTGCAGGCTTAATGATGGAGGCCCGGAGTCACAGAAATGCTTGCAAGGTGGGGATCTAAATCCCCGAGAAAAGCACTCAGTAACGTTTCCTCGAAGTCATCCTTTTGAGTCGTCAGGGTTTTGAGGTAAGAACTGAAGTGGGTCGAGCTGTGCGCGTGGGGTGTAGACCACCTGACTGTCTAGAACCGCGAATGGGAGAGACGAGTGTCCTGGGAGCATGGCCCAAGGCCGGGGGCAGGAAGCGACAGGTGCCGGGGCCCAGCACATGCTCCCCCAGGTACGCTCTTTCTTCAGGTCCACACCTGAGTGGTCTGAGCCTTGGCGAGAGGGACGGTCCCAGCAGTCGAGACGGAGGGGACGATGGTGGTAGCTTCTGTTTGCGGAGCGCTGGCTCTGTGCAGGCGCCACACGTGGCCCAGATAGGCCCCCTCAGGCCCCACCGACCTTGTCTTCCAGATCTTCCCCAAGCTGCGGACCAGCGGCACCATGCTGGATGTGGTGGACAACTGCTCCATGCTCTACCGGCTGCAGATGGAAGGTGGCCAGATCTTTGCTCTCCCACACGATGAGGGGACGGCGCCACGGGCTGGGCAGGAGCTGTCAGCGAGGCCCTCCGGGTCCTGCTGCCTGCGCAGCCACGACCTGGGTGCCGGCTCTGCAGACGCCTTCTAGCCGGCCCGAGGCCCGAGGGCCAGGCCGCCACTGCCCTTTCTTCCACTTCCCAACACCCCTCGGTGCGCAGGCCTAGGCTCTGTGCCCAAGGCGCCCACCTCACCTGCAGGGCACAGGTGGCACCCACAGCTCTGGGGGTTGTAGAGGGCTTTCAGCCAGGTGTGCCAGGTGGTTCTGCCATCTCCCTTAGTCTCAGCAGAGCCAAACCTGTACCCACTCTGGGCTCTGGGTCAGCAGAGCGATGTGGGGGTGAGGCCTGGGCAGGTTGAGCAATTTCCAGAGGGTTCCTGGCAGGCTTCCTGGTAGAGGCAAAAGTGACCCATAGGAGGTGCTGAGGGTTCTGCTGGGCAGAGATAGAAAATGATGTCGCGTGCAGAGAGCAGCCTGTCCGAAGCCCCCAGGACACAGAAGCCAGCAGCCTGTTACGGGGACCAGTGACCGGAGGGTAGAGGCAGTGTGGTCAGCTGGAGCAGAGGAGGCTGAGCGGTGGTGGGGACCGGGAGCCCACGGCAAGGGCAGGGCGAGGGGTTCGGCTTTTATCCGGTCTCAGTGGAGCCTGCTAGAGCAGGGATGGGCAGGCTCCCATCTGCCTCCGAGATCCAGGCAGTGGGGGCCGAGCCGAGGGGTGCTGCGGCCAGAGGCTGGAGGAGTGGCGAGGAGGCCAGGCGGTCAGCAAGGAGGCTGGGAGAACAGCAAGGAAGTCAGGAGATCCTTAAGGAGCCCTGGAGGTCTAGGAGGGAGCCTGGGGGTCAGCGAGGACATGGGGTGATCAGGGAGGAAGCGGGGGGGAATCAACGAGGAGGCCGGAGGGTTCATGAGGAGGATGCTGCGCTCTCTAAGTTGGCTCGTGGACATCCAGGTGGCAAGGCAGGGACACTGAAACCTGGGCTGGTGGTAGGCCCATGTCCCTTGTCTAGCCCAAACCGTCCAGAACTGGCGGGGCGGGAGGGAGGGCAGCTCGGAGGCTGGGAGTTACAGTGGGGTGCTGGGGACAGGTGGAGGGAAGAGAAAGGCCTCTTACTCCCTCACAGAGCCGTGTCCAGTGTTGACTGGCTGAGAAATGGAGGTCAAGGGCAACATCTCTAGTCATGGAGGTGCCCGCAGGAGTAGGAAGAAGCCAGTGTCTTTGGGAGGTGGCGGAGAGTGGGGCAGAAGCGGGGTTGAGAAGTCTAGGCACAAAGGTGGAAGGAGGCTGTTTATTACGTAGGCGGATTTCTAGCGAGCGCCTGTTACGTATCGGGTGCCGTGCCCGCAATAACACGGGAGGAATTTCAAAAGTGGTTTTGGCGTTGCTCAAAGGGACCAGAGACTCCACTTAATACTCTTCGATAGTTTTTAAAATTTGCTGTCTATCTTATGCATCTGTTGCTTTTATAATTAAACAGAGTTAACATAAACTGGGCCCAGAGCTCAATACGAGGCCAGACACTGATTGCTAGCCCTGCTCACCTGCCCAGTGTCCACCTGTCACAGGATCGTGAGGGCCTCTTCGAGATGTACAGGTGAGGGAGGCCCAGGTGCAGGATGTACTCAGAAGCCTCATGCCAGACCTGTGGGTTTCCTTCCCACGTCCTTAGGAGTGTCTGTGGGGGACCGGTGGCGGGATGTCTTGCCGATAACCCAGAAGCACAGCCGAGACCACGTCCTGCTGTTCAATGATGCACACTTCCTGATGGCATCCCTGGGCGCTGGAGACCCCCAAACCACTCAAGAGCTGCTGACTACCCTGCAGGATGCCAGCAAGTATGCAGAGGGGCCAGGGCCCTGGAGGCCTCTGCTGCCAGAGAGGCTGGGGATGGGTGCCCCGCTGGTGAGCACAGCCTTGGGAATGCCCACAGAGGGCTGCTCCCAGATGTGCATCCCAAGGTGTGCATCCTCCAGGTGTATGTCCTCCAGGTGTGGGCCCTCCAGATACATATCCCCACGGGTGGTGCACCCAGATGTGCACCCTTTAGGTGTGCCCCTGTGCAGGTGTGTACCTTTTAGGTGTGTGTCCTCCAGGCTTGAGCCCTCCAGGTGTGCGTCCCTGTAGATGTGTACTCTCCAGGTGTGTGCCCCCTGGGTGGGTATACCCTGCAAGGATGCTGTGGTTTCCCCCTGCCTCTCCATCCCCAAGCTGAGCGTGAGGGCTTCAGTGTCACGTGGGCAGCCTCCCACGGGACCATGGTGGGGTCCTGGGACCAGAGAGACCGCTGCTGACAGCATGTCAGACCCTGGCCCAAGTAGCCAGGAATCGCTGCGTGTTTGATTCTTGCTTTTAAGGTAGATGTGGAGCAGGCTGCTGTCTCCGGGCCCCGGTGCTTGTGACCCACAGTGGCCGGCACCTGAAGGCCAGGGAGACACGGGCTGCCACAGCCACTCACTGCCAGGGTTGGAGCCCGCTCTGGCGCCAGGCCTTTAACTATATTGCCTGCAATCCTCCCTGCAGCCTTGCGAGGGCAGCACTGTTTTCCCCGCTTTACGGAGGAGCAAACTGAGGCTGGAAGTAGGGGGACTAACCCAAGGCCGGGCCTCTCCGAGGTACTGCCCTGGCAGTGTGGGGGTGTCCTTACCTTTCACACGCCCAGCGCTAGTAAACTGGAGTTCAACCCAGCCGAACTGTTCTCTCCTCCCTGGATGACTCACTCGATCGAAGTTCCTACTGTGCGTCGGGCACGGCGCTAGAGACACCGGGCTGAGGAAGCGACAGCCTTTCCCTCCGCAGCCTGAGCCAGGTGGGGAGGCAGGTGTGCTGAGGTGGGCGGGCCACTGAGGGCACCTTCTCCACATGCAGGTGCCCAGAGGAGAACTGTCAGCACCTCCTGGCCCGCGACGTGGGGCTGCCCCTGTGCCAGGCCCTGGTGGAGGTTGAGAACGGGAACCCCGACCGGGCCGTCGAGCTGCTCCTGCCCATCCGCTACCGGATTGTCCAGATCGGGGGCAGCAACGCCCAGGTGAGCCTCCGGCCTCGAGCCGCGCCCGCAGCTGGGGCACTGGGACACGGGTCCAGGCGCCCCTGCGCCCGGCAGCCCCGGCCTCTCCGAGGTACTGTCCCGGCAGTGTGGGGGTGTCTTTACCTTTCACACCCCCAGGAAGTTTGTCCCCGAGGACAGGCCGGCCTGCAGTAGTGGTGGGAGGTCCCGTCTCCCACCCCACATTGCAGGAGCCTAACTGGCCCGGCTGGCCTTTCAGAGGGACGTCTTCAATCAGTTGCTGATTCACGCGGCCTTGAACTGCACCTCGGGCGTCCATAAGAACGTGGCGCGGTGAGTTCCCCGCTCCCGTCCCCAGGCTGGACGTGGGAAAGTTTCTGGGCATAGATAGCTGCCTCTCTCACACGGAGGCCCCCCGTGGGCTTTCGGCGTGCCCAGAGGCTCCCTCCTCCCTTGGCCTGAGGTGGTACCCACCTGTGAGGTTGTGAAAATGCAAGGCTATGGGGGCGCTCCCTTGTTAGCCTGCTCAACTTGACCAAGGGGACCAGCCGCCCACACCCCCGGCCCACTCCTCACTCTAGCCATGCCGAGCGGCTTACCCAAACACATCCTGCTTTTTCGGGCCCCTGGGCCTTTGCATGTGCCGCGCCCTCTGCCCTGGCTATCCCTCTCCTTCTTCGCCTGGCTGATGCCTGCCGATCCTTCAGGCCTCAGCTCGCATCCTCCAAGCTGACCGTGCTGGTGTTGGGCGGAGGAGTGAGCAGGCAGGCCCAGGCCCTGGCTGCACGGAGCTCCCCTCATAGGCAGGAACTGATCCTAAGCCACTTCTCACACGAACACATGTAAAAGTGCCACGAGAGCCGGGCGCATTGCTCCAGGGTGCTGTGAGGGGGGTGCTGGGCAGACAAGGGTTCCGGGGGGCTGTGGCCCACAGAAGCAACCATTGAGGGGAGGCTGAAACCCAGCCAGTTTAACCAGGCCAGGGGTGTTCTGGCTAGTGGAAGGGGCCGGAGGGCATGGCTGGGGCATCGGGGAGGTCAGGGTGGGGGCGCTCCAAGAAGAAAGCCGTCTGAAGCCCGGTCACCGCCAGCGGCCTGGGCGCTCCCACACCCCGCCCAGCTCACTCCATGTGGGGTGGCCACATTCTTTGCTGGCTTCTGCACCAGCTGCGTGCTCCTGCGGGCCGGGGGGGGGCGGGTAGGGGGGACATGAGCCCTTCCTTGCCTAAGTCCCCTGCGCCCTGCTGGGACTCCAAGGGGAAGACGGAGAGGGAGGAGCGGCTGGGCACTCAGCAGGCGGGACAGGTGTCTCGACTGGACTCTGAGGTAGGGGGAACACCCCAGGGTCTAAGCCCAGCTTCGGCGGCTGGTTGTGGGAGAGACCCAGCCGCCCTGGCAGCATTTCCAGACTGAGCCATGCAGGTGTTCATGGCGCTGATGAAAAGGTGTAGACGCACTGCCATTGGCCAAACCCCGAAGCGTCCTGGACACATGCCTGTGCTTTTCGCCCGTCCACGGCCACGCAGGGGTGGGGCTGCATGGCAGCGTGTCTGCCCCTGGGTGTGCTGGGGACGGACAGGTCCCACGGCGGCCTGGAGCAAATGCTGACCATGGAGGGGGAGCCTGTTGCCGTCAGAGCGACTAGTGTGTCCTCTCCAAGGGTCCCCCTGTCATCGTCATCATGTACCTATGGAGCCATCAGCTCAGCTCAGCTCCAGTCCCGGAGCAGCCTCAGGTGTGACTCCGCCAACCCGCCCCACAGCTGTGTTCTACCCTCCTGTCCCTAAGTTCCTGAGGCAGACAAGGCCACGGAGATGTGCTCACCCTAGAATTCGAGTCACTGGATGTGTCACGGGGACAATGGAAAAATGCTGTCCAAACACAGGATGTCCCGTTCTGCTCTTGCACCTGTGTGGAGCTGCTGGGCTCTGAGAGTCCACGCTTCCTCATCCTCACACCTGCCCCTGCCCAGCACACCACCTTCTCTCTGGTCCCCCGCCAAGGCTAGGCATCCTACCTCTGGGCCTGTGTCTATCCTGTCCCCTCTCCAGCAACCTGGGAAGGTGAACATCTTGCTCTCCCCAGCCGCCTGTGTGCTGCCTTGGGACCGAGGAACCATCGGGCCCCGACATCCTTCTAGGAGGTTCCACCATGGATCCTGTTTCCGTTTCTGCAGGAGCCTTCTGATGGAGCGTGATGCCTTGAAGCCCAACTCGCCCCTGACTGAGCGGCTCATCAGAAAGGCAGCTGCCGTCCACCTCCTGCAGTGAGCCCAGCCTGCCGTCCCCCAGCCTGACGCCTCCCGGCCGTTGGACCAGCTGCCCCCCAGCTTTGCAAGCTTAGGAAACAAGCCTGTTAGGCTCCTTAAGGATAGGCTGCAGCTTTAAGCAGAAAACACAGCAACCAAAAAGAGGGGACACAAATCAATTGTGAACGTGATTCAGAATCTTCTTGTTAAGAGCCAAGGTGCAGTTTTAAGTGGTCAGAAGCCATGTGGGTGCTACTGTTACCCCTGGCCTTGCAGATCGTATGTTCCCAGGGCACGCTTACACCTTCCGGTCCTTCCAGGGTTGGAAGCAGGGGTGGGGCGGCTCAGCTTGGGGAGGGGTCCTCACAGCCCCTAGGCGCACCCAACCCCAACTCCAGGCCACCCTTGAAAGGAAGCCTCTAGTTGTCTTCTGCATCCTGTTCTAGACAGGCTCTGTCATCCGCTTTGGGGTCGGGTGCCAGTGGGGGACAGGGAACTTACCAGGGTCACAGTGAAGAGAGGCCCTGCTGAGACTCACCTTAGGCCCCTTTTCTTCTTGGGAGAGGGGACCCCATCACTCAGCCTGTGGCCTCAACCCCAGCTGCAGCACCCGTGCCCTCCTCACAGAAGCACAAGCCCATGGGCGCCCTCCTGCTGTCTCTGGAGAGAAGTCTGCGGGCTTCCTGGGGGCCATTTGTGGCACTGATTTGGGCTTATTTTCTCTTTATTCTAAACCACATCATAAAGGGGCCTTGGCACGTGGTTTCCTTTGTCTGCTGTGACTTTAATCGCACGGATGCAGTGCTCTGAGCTGGTGCTCTTTCTGGGGTGTGACTTCAACAAGATCTGAGCCAGTTTTGTAAGCGCTGGCCCGGCTTCTGCTCCCTGTCGTCAACCTGGCCTCATGTCCCTCCTGAGCAAGCCACAGGTCTGGGCTTAATGTGCCGGGCCAGCTGTGCTGCGTGAGGGGATCCCAGCCCACAGCTATTTCTTGGGTGTCTTTGGTGTGTCCTGAAGTTGGGTACGGACTCACCAGGACAGAGAGGCGAGCCTCCTGGGCAGCAGCGGAGGCCTCCAGATCTATTAGCAAATGACTGAGATTAAAATTAATTAGGTAATCGGTTCCTTTGACTAACTCTTGCTGGACAGGCCCCTTTGAGCATCTCCCATGTGCCAGGCCTGGGCTGGGTCCTAGGGAGACAGGCTTCTTGAACTTGCGGGGGGTTGGGGCAGTGAGTCAAGAAAATGGGTAATCGCATTAGGATTTCGAGAGAGGTGCCATCTCTATCCAGGACCTAGGGACATATCCCAAGGGGGAGCTTGCCCTCCCATCCTGAGCTGTCCACTTCTGCCAGTTTCCCTGATGAGCCTGCTCACATCTGGTCTGCCCTCACCTCTCCCGTTCCAAGCAAGATACAGCTTGGTCCCTCCAAAAAGCCCTCCACTCCCCCACTGCAGGGTGGTGAGGGCACCTGCCCTTGTTATTGTACCTTTCTCCCCAGCTGTAACCTCCTCAAGTCAGGGGCAGCATCTGTGTCCCAGCATCAACCAGCACATGACCTGCACTGAGTTCCTGGCAGTGGACATTGGTGAATGAACCCATGAACGAATGCATAAACAAACGAAGCAGAATCCTACTGGGGAAAGGAAAAAATGAACCTACCATGGACAGGCCGATGAGAAGAGGTGACCAAGAGATGGATGGAGTGGAGATAGAGTTGAGTCAGCAGCAAGTTATTAACTGGTGTCGTTTACTGAGCACCTACTATATGCTGGCATGATACAGGAAGAGGAGCATTGGGAGTGGGTGTTGGGGAACCTCACCCCGAGCAAGGCTGTGGGGTATCTGACACCTGGGCCAAGAGCCCCCGAGCCGGACCCTTTGGGCTCCTGCCACAGTTGCCCCGTGGTCATGGGTGAGGCAAGCCTGGGCCTTGAGATTGTGAATTGAGCATGACAGTAACAAAACAGCTATCTTCAAGAAGTCCTGGAAGGTGCAGGGAGGCCTGGAGCTTCTCCCGGCTGGTGTCCAGGACAAAGCAGCCTGTCTGATGGTGAGCAGGACCCTGGAGAGGAGACTGGGAGATGGCCCAACCCAGCACTGTCCATCAAGTCCCTCTCTTTATCCGGGCCTGAAGCCAGGGCCACTCCTGGACTTCCCTGTTCCTGAAGCCTACACATTCTCCTCTTTCTAAAGCCAGTTTGAAACTGGTTTTCTGTTACTTGCACCCAAAGGCTCTTGACCAATACCTGCAGCTGGGTTTTGCACCTGGGTCTGTCTGGCACCATCTCTCTTCCCCACTTAAGCTGGATCCTGAGCAAAAGATGATGGGACTCTGAAAGGAGCTGTGATCAGAGACTCAGGTGGGAAATAGGGCTGGGGGACCCAGCACGTTGGAGCCACGTGGGGAGTAAAGAGGGAGGCTGAGGCTGCAGAGGGAGCCCCCAGATAGAAGAGGTGTAGGAGATGGCAGGACAAATCCAAAGAGATGCAGAGTGCAAGCTGGGCTCCTTCCATGCCGCTAGACACCCGCTGCCACCTTACCCAATTCTCACTCAGCTCCTGCCTGGTGCCCAGTGTTGGGCTGGGTGCGGCTGGAGGACAGTGATGGCTGAGACCCCTGCCCTGCCCTCTAGGCACTCACAGTCTCGTAGGGAGCTGGACCTGGAATCAGTACAGAAGGACCATGGCAACATGGGGTGATGGCTGTGGATGGTGTGAAACCAGGGACATAGGAGCCCATCAGCCTGGAAGGCTTCTTGGTGGAGGTCCTGGGGCCAGGATGGCTGCCCCCGGGACAGTTCTCCACACAACCTGCACAAATAGACGGCTCATCGTCATCCTGGAAAACGGTGCTCTCCCTCGAGTTGTCCTCATGGAGCAGACCCTGCAGGTCATCCCCAGGCTCCTTCTTCTGCTCACTCCTCCATCCTTCGGTCCCTATTAATTAGAGCAACAGCTTCATGACACTGTGTCCTGGGTGGAGCCCCTCATTTGATCCTCAGGCCCCTGAGTTGGGTATTATTTATACCTGGTTCACAGTCGAAGGCTCAAGTGAGGGCAGCCTAAGCTGCCGCTGATTGAGCCATCCACTCGTCAGTTCTCCCTGTCGCTCAGATCAGGGGTCTCCTGTTGGAGCACTCGCGCATGCAGACTCCACCACCTGGCCACCCGGCCCTGCCCCAAGGCACACCCCTGCAATCTCCCCCACCTCGTCCTCAGAGCCAATCCAGCTCCCAAGGAGACTACAAAGCCACCCTCTGACCATGCTCAGGCCCTCATCACTGTCCTCTGCCGCCAAACAGGTTATCCTGGTCCAGTGGCAAAACTCGGCGTGTCTGGTTACCGAGTGCCACCTGTGCGCTTCTCAGGTCTTCGTACTGTGTTACAAACTGACACGTAATGCTTTAAGTGTAGGTAGATGCCACTGTTTCGTTTCGTCTTAACATCCAAACCCTAAGGTAGGAATTTAATTTTCTTCATTGACAGCTGAAGAGCTGGGGTTAGAACCAGGGACCCTGGCCACACGTAGCTGTCCAGGCGCCAGCCCGGCAGGTACACAAGGCGCGTGCATTAAGAAAGCCCCGCCCCGCGCTGCGCGACCGCAGGCACCGGGCGGACCTCGGGTGCGCAACCC